TTGTTGCAGGCCATTCCGCCGATTCCGACAGGAGCACACTCGCACAGGAGCGGTATATCCCAGCGGTACAGCCCGATGAGGGGCAGACACACGCATAAGGGAACATACCTATTTCGCTCATCATCAGTCATTACTCGGTACTCCTTGCGTAAAGCTCTGCCCATAAATTGTCCATTAGGCAATTGGCAACCGGATCCCCACGGTCTTCCTGATAAGTCAGTAACTGTTACTGAAATCGCTGTAAGTCCACGAATTTAAGTTGCCTTACCACCAAGAAAGCCGCACACACACGCCATGGTAGCGCAATCGTAGTAAGTGGAAGAGTCTGGCGGAAATCTATTTTCTTCCGGTGGGTTCCAACGATTTCTCTGCTCCCTTTCCTAAATGCGAATAAATACTTAGTTAGGATCGATATAACTGTACCGAAAAATGGTTCCATTGTGATTGTTTATTATTGGAAATTTTAGTAGGAAAGAATGTAATGCAGAAGAAACCTAGTAGTGAAGGCTTGGCTTTCTTATTTTTCGCACTCGGAAACAACTGAAAATCTGCAGAAAGTTCAGCGAAATAGTTTTCTTTGTCGAGGCTACCTGGGATAAAACTGAACAATCAGCCAGCGACTGCGAAAGAGCCCACATTTTTTCGGTGAAGGCGAAGCTCCCACGGCGGACAGGAAGTAACTAGTTACTGAAGGAACGCGGAATGCCTGCGTCATTCGTTGGTCACCTGGCGTCCCCTTGGTTTCTGTGCAACCATGTTAGGCGTTTTTGAAGAGTCTTGTACAGCTCTCATTTTGTAATCGCTCGAAAAAAATTGATACCTCGTCACAAAACGCTGAGGACTGGGTCACACCGTTGTGAAGATTTTCTAAGTGAAAACTCGCTGAATTCAGCGATCTTCACATGTAAAATCTTTACAACAACGTGGGAAGGCCCCTAAAATGCATTCAAAGATCGTGCCTGATATCGAAACGTTTTCGGGGTTATCATCAGTGTTTCCACTTCCACGCCCAGGTGACTAAGAAGGGATGAGCCCAGGTCGAAGTGACCTTTTCTGGTGGAACTTAAATTTCCTGCATTCTCCAATACTGATATCATATCCGCTTACAGAAGCCGCTGAACATTCCTTATAATGAACACACGAAAGTTTCTTGCTCTATAATGTATGTAGGTGCCGACTTTTTTGGAAAATCTATTTCTATTGATTTTTACAGTCCTCATCATTACGTACTGTCGGGGCGGCACAGCCGCGCTGCACTGTGACGCGACAGCGGCTGCGGCTCGGTGACGGTGAATCAGCTGATTTCGATGGAATTCGGCTGCAAATTCCCACTTTTTCAGCTCTTCAAGCTTCTAAAGTGGAAGGTGAGTTATTCTGACCAATTTAGAATTGTACTGACTCTGAATGAATCTGAAAGAATGTAAGCCATTTGAATAAATGCCTGAAATAAGGCAAAATACAAGGAAAAGAGCATAATAATCGACATAAAAAAAGGAAATCAGAGCCAGTACAATCAATGGTCCACAATTCAAAATTGGTCAGAATAACTTCCACTTTAGAAGCTTGAAGAGCTGAAAAAGTGGGAATTTGCAGCCGAATTCCATCGAAATCAGCTGATTCACCGTCACCGAGCCGCAGCCGCTGTCGCGTCACAGTGCAGCGCGGCTGTGCCGCCCCGACAGTACGTAATGATGAGGACTGTAAGTGCCCAAAAAGGAGTGTCATGTTGATGAAATTGAGCATTCTCGACACCCCTCCTTTTCCCACTCAACTGAAGAACTGAAATCGATGAGACCCAATCGATAAAAATATGTCCAAGAAACGCCATCTATTAGGAAGGTGCACAACAGTGTAAATCAAAAATTCCAGTTCACAGACTACCATCGAACCTGCTACACTACTGGATTCGATTGGGAGTCTACTGAAGCAGCTTATCTATGGAAATTCATGCCAAAGAATGGAATTGGGAGGGTGCCCCATGCAATGCGCATTCACAGCGTCCTAATTCCCATCCCTTGAACACTTGAACCAACTTCAACGTCAGGAGAAGCATTCTTCCTTGGTCACACCCAAACAAGTGTCGTGACTTTCGTACGACTCTTCTTAAAGGGTCGCGTTTATGGTTGGGCGCGGCGGTCCTGGCGCGCTTGGCGGAACGGTCGAATGTTCGCGAAGCCGCTAGGGATGCAGAGTCGGCGTCGACTCTGGCCTGTCTGTCACTTCTACGTCCTGCAGCCGTCTCGACTGGTCGCTCCGCTCCGCTCTACTCCCAGTGTCAACGTCATCGTCTATCTATGCTGGTCGCAGTCTAACATCAACGAGCAGTACCACGCAATGGAGCCGCACTACTACAGGCCGCCGACTATCCCAGGTAACCACTAGAGGCGGAGGTGCATCCGAACCTCCTGGGCAGCCGGAGGGGAGGATGTTCCCGAGGCCCCTAGTGGGCTGTTCCCTCGTGGCCCGTAGGCAGTTGAGGCAGGGTTCGTCCGTGTAGGTTAGGGCCGTACCATTATTCTTGTAGTAGTTTATCCTTTTGTTATTGTTTCATAGTTATCATATTAGAGAGGTAAATCAATTTAATAGTTTGTGTATTGTTATGTAGCAATAGTGGTTAAACCACAACATTTCTCGAACGCCCATTTATCACAGTTTTATCATAGTCCTTAGCATAGTTATTAATATGCCTGTTGTTGGTCTTAGCTATATATTAGAGGCATCCTAGTCCGCGGCTAGGTGAGCAGATATTCTTAGGTAGGGCGCGTAGGCAAGGCGTAGGTAAGAGGGTTAACATC